TCCTAAGTTCGAGCCCCAGTACCAAAAAAAAAAAAAAACAGACACACACATGCAAGTTGAGCCTTGCTCTATAACAACTCGACTCCCGTGAGAGGAACATCAAGCCAGCCATATGGCAGAGCTCTCAGGATCTTGTCACCTCTTAATGTTCCCACTTCTCAACACTGCTGCATGGAGATTAAGCTGGCAACTACAGCTTCAGGGATACTTTCAAACCAGAGCAAGGACTGTGCTCATCTTCTTACATACTTAGCACTTCTTAAATTCACTCATACAACTGAAGTACACAGTGAGCCACTCCCAAAAAGATCATTGGTGAACTCAAACTAATTCTCTCTGAAGTATTTTTGAGATCCTCTGCTTTTTTCATAAATAATTTTATAGCCCTGCCTTTTTAACTCCTCCCTTTAACTTTTCCCCATAAATAACTTACTGAAGAATTTACAGTGACATTCTGAAAAACACCCATTATTTTTCTTACTAATCTTGTTTCTCTGCCCTGGGAAATATCAATCTTCTTTAATATTATTTAGCATATGTCATGTATAACTAAAGAGAAGGATAAAGTTCTAAAATTATTTTGTCTTGAAAGGTGCTTTCAGTGATTTTATTTAATTTTATTAAATGTAAGTTTTTATCAGTTATATGACTTGAATTTTAACAGCATTTAATATATAGAAGAATTGGTATATAAAGTTCTTAAATTGTGGAGTTGCAGGTGATTTAGCTTTCTTTTTTCTATTTCTCTGCCTCTTTCTAGTTTATCTGCAGGGACTATTCCAGGGAACATTAGCAACATTAAATGGTAAGCCCCTACTGCCTCTAATATTCATTATTTTTTAATATGAACCACTTGAATTTGTTTCAGAAATGTACTTTGATCTTTTGGAATCTGCTACCAGTTCATTTCAAAGGGTGATAAAACTAAGTGCAAATTTCCTACATTTAAGAAGTGTTAATTTATTCAGTAGCACAATTAAGTTGCCACCTGATAACCCAATTCATTACAATGCATCAGACTTCAGATATCCAGTTAATTTACTCTTCTGTTCGATGTAAGCACACATACCCTGACTTATTTAACCGAATCTTTTGAGATGGGGGACAGTGATTTCCATATGATGTTATAGGACAGTGAGTCAAAGCAGCCTGAAAAGTCCTTGTTATATTTTCAACTGAAAAATTCCTTGACTTAGAATCATGAAAAATCTACCATAATCAACTGTATATACAGTGTGTGTTTACGATTAATGTGTTGTGCAGTTTCAAATAACATCTGATTTCCTAGTGTTTTCTAGACAGAAGATAGGCTATAAAAAGAAAGAATAATAAACATAAACATGTAAGTCTGATACTACTAATTAGTCCAGACTTTAAGAGTTATCAAGTACAGTCACTCTCAGTCCTAGCCACATTCTAAAGCTACCTGGAAAGTTTTTACAATATAGTGGTGCCTGAGCCCGATCTCAGAGCAATCTGTGCAAAATCTCAGGATGGGGCTTGGGTGTGGTATCTGTTTTATGTGTGCCAGTCACAGTTCTGCGTGCTTCTCTATGTTCAATCATTTTAAGACTTTACCTCACGACATAAATACTATTGCCGCCTCTACTTGAGATGAATTGAGGCTTCCTTAAGTACATTTACTTAGCCCAGTCAAACAAATAAGTGGCAGATCCACCATCACATGCAGACTCCGTGTCAGCCCGGATTTTGCTATCTGTTCTGACAGCCTGTCAAGCTACCTTCCAGTGCCTTCCGCACAGCACAGGACTCCTGTGCTGCAGAATTCTACGAGATAAAATATAGCCAGAGACGAACAAATAAAGAAATACAGACTGATTCTTTATTATCAAGTACAGTCACTCTCAGTCCTAGCTGCATTCTAGTCAAAGGCACTAGTGTAAATTGGTAGCTGAAATCATGTAAATGTTACATACTGCAAACGTGTCATGATAAATTTTTAAATAAAGAAAACAATGCTTATAAATAAACAAATTACTAAAAAGATTAAAAACTGAGACAATTAAAATCAAGACAGCAGATTCTGGCTAGTAGTGATGAGAAATGAGTTACTCAAATAAACAAGGACTCTTTTAGGACTCAGAAGACTGTCCAAAGGCTCTAAACTGGGGATCCCACAATTCAAATTCAGAAGTTTCATAGGCCAGGTATGTACAGGAACCAGAAGTACAAGGATCCATTGTAACCGGGAGGAATAACCTTTGGCTTAGGATTCTAATTCTGTGCACTCTAGTACCATGAAAATTAACACGTAGTCAATCTGATGCTCTTTGCTACCTACATACAAAAAGAAACAATTTACATCATATTCATTTACATCATATTCAGTTGCTTTAAGTCAAGACACTAGAAGTGCTCCGTCTTACTTAAGTAACAACAAAGGGAGGAAAAACTCTATCAAAAACATATTTAAGCCGTTGATGTGGGCAGGTGGAAATAGCACAATGCTAGGTCTACAGAGTAGCTGGTGGCGAGCCTGGATTTTGATTGCCTGTATTTGATGGGGTTTTCAAACTACTTTAAAAAGTAGGTCATCAGTGCCAGCCTGAATTAGAGAAGGAGGACTCTCTAGGGACTCCTGCTGTGTTTTGAGAAATGTTCTTTGGAGAACAGTGTGCCTTATCTCCAGAAAGGAAAGTGCCCTTGAAGATTACAAGCAACAAATTTCTATCTTGTCTCCAGCCTGACCAGAATAGGGTGGAGCTACAGGATTTGAATCCCCTGGCTATTGTCAGGGGACCAATTACTATATTCACAGCTAACTTAATGGGATCCTGAGTAACATCATTAAGGGCACAGTAGGCAATAAATGATTATAAAAGAAGCTTGTGAAATTCCCTAGATATCTATGCCTGGTCTATCTCCCTTATCTAATACCATCTGTGGATGCACAGATGACCTGGAAATGAAAATTGTGTAACTAATAACTTCTAATTGAAAGAAATCTAACAAGTCTATGTATACTGCTCGCTGGATGTTAAGTCTTAGTTTACACCTAGGGATTCTAAACTCGTTATTACTAATATCCTTGGAACGCTGAAGCTCAATCATCAAGTTTTATAAAACTTACTTGTGCTAAGTGAGACGGTATTTTAAAAATTCAGTTGAAGGGTAATAGTTTTTTTACAAGAATCTTGCAAGGGTGCCAAGCAAAGTGAGGTTGTTAAAATGCAGATTCTTGGCCACTTACCAGACCTACTAAATCCAAACCTCTGAGGGCTGGAGCCCAGGCACCTTAATTTTAACAAGCTCCCCAGGTGATTATTATGTATGACAAAGTTTGAGAGCTTCTACCCTAGGGTGTCCCCAATTCAAGGCTAAAAAAAATCACTTGTCATTATGAAATGTTATAAAATATTGAATTTCTAGCACAATTTTAATTGGCTATAATAAAGTAGCACTTCTTAGGATTAGAAAAAAATTCTAACCACCATGTGACTTGTGTTTGGAAGTGCGATTCTTCACGTAGAAAAAGAGGACTAAAATGATGCCGAAGAGATCTGACCCATCTTTACAGGGCTTCCCATCTCTCAGGCAGAGTACTGTCACTGTGTTACTGGAATGTTGCTCAGCCTTTCTCCCTCCATGGTATGCTCTCTCCTATTCTAAGATTGGCACACAGATGTCAATTTTGATTGACTTATAAAAACCAATACAACTAGCTGGCAAGGTGGCACACGCCTGTGATCCCAGCACTCTGGAGGCTGCGGAGGCTGGGAGTTCAAAGCCAGTGTCAGCTATTTAGTGAGTACAAGATCAGCCTGAAATACATAGAGAGACCCTGTCTCAAAAAAACAAACAAAACAATACACCTTTCCCCTACTGATATTTTAAAGTGTATTATTCTTATCTTGTTCTTTTCAGTAATTTTACAATAGTCATTCCTATGTAAATGGCTCAAAGCCTCTAACAAATATTCTTTAAAAAAATGCATAAGTGTATCAGAGCTAGGAAAAATGTCAAAAAGTATATAAAACAGGATGAAATTGGTTTCAGCAGCCGAAGAGAAAGGCCATGCCTCCAAGGTATCCCTGATAGCACTCAATTCTTTCAACAAATCCAGATTTAACAAATCATATCTTGAGTAGGGAATATTTTGCCTTTTGGGGAATATCAGAAGCCAGAAAGCTTGGGAATCTTTAAGAACTGCTATCAGTATTTTTTGTGGAAGTTTCTGTGCGTGTTTGTTTTTCAGGGAGAAACAACAGCTCGTACAAACACTTGATGAAAATAACATTTATTTATCCACTGAGCTCACACAGTGACTAGAAACTGGAGCATACCTGTTAAAGAAGAAAAAGTTCAATTGCTAAGGCATTAGAAATCAAACTGCTTTCATATAGAAAATTCTCCCAATCAGACACCATTCAGACTGCCTGTATTAGCCTTGCTTCTCAAAAGGCAGAAATCTTAAATGGGATGAATCATAACAGCTGGTTCTCACCAACCGCCACTCTGCCAGACGGGAAGCTGACTTATCAATGGGTGCTCAGGCAGAGCGTCAGGGCCTGGAAGAGGCGGGGGCTCCCAGGGAAGCTCCTCAAGGGGATTTCTGCAGATGGTAGTTTAGTAGATGGTTCTTCACAATTTTTTGCATTTTGACTTTGATTCTGGGAAAAATCAAGTTAAATGCCATAGTGCATAGGGGTCTTTTTCTATCCGTGGAATGGATAAAAGTGCATGGCTACAATTGATTTTGAATTTATAATTAATTATAAACTGAATGAGGGCTGAAGACATTAAAAATGCTGCGAAACATCTATTTGCTTGGATAAGAAGATTGAAAAGGAAATTGGCTAAAGTGCTTCACAAAATTTCTTTCTAGCAGAGAAAAGCTAATTCTACTATAAAGCAACAATAATCTCGACAGTGTGGTACTGGCAAAAGGATAGACACAGATCAATAGAGTCCAGAAATAGGCCCACACAAATACTGTAGCCAATTGATTTTTTATACAGGTGCAAAGTCAATTCTATAGAGAAATAACTGTTGTTTTGTAATATATGTTGCAGATCCAAATGCCAAAAAGTAAACCTAGACACGTCTCACACAAAAATTAATATAAAGGGTCCATAGACTTAAATATTCATGTAAAACTATAAAACAGAGGGAAATATATGAGAAAAGTTTGCATCCTTGAGCTAGGTAGAGTTCTTAGATATACTGCCAAAAGCATCATCCAAGAGGAAAAAATTGACAAATTAAATTTCATCAAATTTAAAATGTTTGCAAAAGACACTTTGAGGGAATGAGAAAAACAAACCCTATTCTGGGGGAGGGTATTTACAACTCACATATTTGACAAAAAATTTATATCTAGGTTATATGAAGAATTATAAAACCTTAACAACATGAGAATCCAATGTTTTAAGAGAATAAAAGATCTGGAAAAATACTTCAAGAGAGAAGACACATAGATGGCAAATAAGTACATGAAAATACGCTCTATAGCATTAGTCACAGAAGAAATGCAAATTAAAACCACAATGAGATACTACCACTGTTTAAAAGAAAATCTGAGACCAGTTAAATTTAATGAAATTAGCTGGGCATGGTGACACACACCTGTGATCCCAGCTCTCAGGAGGCTGAGGCAGGAGGATCGCTGCAAGTTCGAGGCAGCTTTACCTACATAGTGAGTTCAAGGCCAGCCTGAACTGCACAAAAAGACCCTGTCCCCCAAAAAATATTTTATATGGTATTCTGCATAAGGTAAAATTACAGTGATGGAGAACAGCTAGGTGGTTTCCAGGAATTAACAGTGGTGAGAGGAAAGTCGGACTACAAAGGGATAGTATATTTTCAAGGAGTTTGTTGGGGATAATAGAACAGTTCTGTTTGTCAAATGGATAAAACTCTATAACAAAAAGAATGAATTTTATTGTATGTAAATAAAAAATAAATTTTAAAAAATTTATTTTGAGCTAACATGATTATTTTACAGTAAACTTTTTGGGGATGATTATCATTGCAAACTCCAGAAATGCCTTCAAATTTTCTATTTTTAAGATAAATTTCCAGTGTTATGCTTCTGCTTTGGCAAATATTCAAAAATAATATTCACCAGAACTGTTCAAAACTATGTGCTTAGAGTGAGTATATAACAAAAAAAAAAAGGTTAATTTTAAAATCACAAGATAGCTTTTTTCAAAAATAAAGACTCAGGAACCTAAAAATGAGGCAAAGAAACTTGTGAAGTCAAAAGCTACTTAGCTCAGACTTCTTCCTCCATGCAGAATACATTTTTCCTCATCTTACAAAGCTAAGTTGCGCTGCTTGGGTTTCTATACTATGGAAGTTTAATCCGATCTACTGGCTCCAGTCTCAGGATTTTCACCAGGGGTCAGAGGCGTAAGACACTGTCGACATTCCGGTCTGTTGTTTTAAATAAATGTGTCTAGCCCTGTCAGAGACCAGCACTTTTTGGCAAATAAATCAAGTCATACCTTATAACTTTCACCTTTTTTACACTGGTTCAAACGCATTTCTGTTCATTAGTTATCACTAAAATTGATTTGCTATGACAATTTGAAGGCGGTATAGCTTTCAGTACTATGCAATACCAGCCCTTGGACATAAATGTACCACCCCCCAAGTTAAATAACATTTCCTAGGTCTAAACTGAAATGTTGATCACTCTAGGACAGACAATATGTGCTGCACAGTCAGAAAACTTTATACAATGTGTTTACACATAGCAACGATCTTTTACTAAATACTTTTTGCCACTTATCATATAAGTGTCACCTTCCTTTCTCTTTCTTTCTTTTCTTTCTTTCTTTGCTCTTTTTGAGACAAGGTCTTACTTTACGGTCCAGGCTGGCCCTGAACTCACATGTAGCCCAGTCTAGCCTCAAACTCACTGAGTTCCTCCTGCCTCTGTCTCAGGAGGTGCTGGGATTACAGGTGTGCACCACCATGCCCGGTCCATTATTTCATTGGTATGTCCTATTTCACTCCCAAATAATACAGAGCCTCCTCTGATCTCTGGTCTCCCTGCTTACTCTCCCCAATGATCTCTTTAGTTTCCCGTACTTTCCAGATCAAAATGCCTTCAGGCTCCCTAATTACCGCTTACAACAGTGAATGGTCACCTGCCTTCTACCAAAACATACCCAATGGACGAGGTTTGCAAGGTCAACACATTGCGTGGGTGTGCACCAAGTAATATGGTGCCCGCGGAGCAACTATTAGGTCCACTGCCTCAGTCTCTGAATGTAAGCAACTGAGAGTGACGCTACCACCGGGAGAATCTGGAAGTATAGAAAAGGACACACACACATGTACTCGCACTAAGGCATAAGATACTGGTGCCAGGAAGGGTGGCCCACCATCGTCATACTTCTAAATAGGAAGGATGTACGAAGCCCTTAGGGTGGGCATGGGATTTGGGAGGACATCCCAGTTCCTTCCCATCTTATCCCCTTTCCTTATAACCTGGCTCAGAAAACATGTCCAATTCCACACCTCCAATTATTACTGAATGGGGTTGATACCGAGGCCTAAGACCCACATTTTCAAATGTTCAGCCAAACACTGAATCCACCAATACTTTGAACTTAGCACCAGCTCCTTCTCCTCCTGATTTCCTTATTCTTTTTCATATCATGTTGTCTTCCAGGAAACCAAATTTAAAAGTAGTAGTTATCTGATTCTTCATCCTCATTCGTCTCACATATTTAAACAAAGTTGCCAAATCAACCAACTCTACCTTCAGAAGGCTTTGCATAGCCTCCTTGCCTTTTCCATTCTTATTATCTGCAGCTGAACATCGAGCTTCATAACTTTCCCCCCTGAGATTCCTTTTCCCAGTATCCCCATTCCAATCTATTTCTCCTATTGCTGTCACCTGCATAGCCCCAACCCAGATTGGATCATACCACCTCCTGGTCAAAAGCTTCCAGTGCTTTCCCATTGTTCTTTAATCCAATACTGAAAGCTTTCTTCACAATCTATTACAAATTCCTTTATGGGTCCCCTATGCCAGTTAAATCGGATTACTATCTTTCCCCCAAATACTCTGCGATAGCTCATAAGATCCTTCAACTGACATGTTTTAATACTGCCATTTTCACAGCTATAAACCTTTGACAATCCAGTGCCAAATCTCCCATAATGATTTTCATAATTTGATGAGCTGAATAATTTCTAGCAATGAGAACTTCTACATTACTGAGTTAGAGGTTATAAGGCACTTCACACCTAATATGTCTTATCCTTCTCTTACACTAGTGTGCTATGTTCCAATTCTGTAAATGTTTTAATTCTTCTTGATTTTTTTAAAACTCTAAAGCAACAGCAAAAGTTCCCCTAACGGGAGGCCATAATAGGTCCAAAGATCAAAGATGATAAATATGACACCTGAATAGACAGCTAATACAAAACAGCCAAAGCTACAGCTAACTGTAACTCTAAACTGAATCAGAAAAATCTTCTGCATTCATTGCTTTGATGTATTTCTCATGTACTTTCTGCATAATTCATTCTGGAAACCATATGACAAAATAAATGGTATTTATTTAATCCTAATCCTATAGGAACACCTAATCCTACAGGAACAAGTGATATTATCCAGATGCTTTTAACTAATGGCTTATTATCAGATAAATCACAGATACAAACAACATGTAACAGAGTTAAATATAAGCTGGGGTTGTGGTACACACTGGAATCCCAGCACTCTCAGAAGGCTGAGGAAGTATTTTGGAAGGATTGCAAGTTCAAATCCAGCCTGGACAACTTAGTGACTTAGTGAGGTGAGACCCTGCCTCAAATGTAAAAACTATAAAGAGCTGGGGTGTAGTGCAGTCCAAAGGCCATGGGTCCAATCCCTAGTAACACATGCAGACAAGTCATAACAACTGTACATCTTCATAATAATGTAAATTTGTACTCTGAGCTTTTACAAAGAAGCACCTATGCATATCCATTATACCAAGAGTTCTACTGTATCACAAATATACATGCCATACATAAAACAATTAGCTTTCCTAAATTCCACTAAAGGTACTGTGGTGGCAATAATAAACCAGATAGGTTGCTTTATTTACCTTCATGCTATTTAGAAGGGCATTTGATATTTGGTGTAGAGGGAGGGAGACAAATGACATGTCTAACTTTTAAGAGAGACAACGAAACCAACCCATAACATGTCCAAGGCAGTAGAATGAATAATTTTCTTTTTATTAATTCATTATGACAACCTAATATATTCAGTATAATTCTTCTCCAGACCTTAGAGCCACATCCAAAGGTAGAAGATGTACTGGATTTGAAAAAGGAAATCTTAGGTTCTGGTTTGACTCAGTCACCTGTCAAGGAGGTGATATCCAGGCTCACTGAGCTTTGGTTACCTCAAAGGTAACAACAGTATAAAACAACAGCTAACCTCACAGAGTTATAGAGAGAACTCATAGACAATATAATTTAAATGCTTTTTAAACTGCAAAGCCCCATTAATGATTAGCTGGGCATGGTGGCGGTGCACGCCTGTAATCGCAGCACTTTGGAGGCAGAGGCAGGAGGATCACCAGAAGTTCAAGGCCAGTTTGGGCTACATATTGAGTTCAAGACCAACCTGAACTACAAAGTGAGACCATGTCACCAAAAAAAAAAAAAAAAAAGAAAGAAAGAAAAGAAAGAAAACGAAAAAAGAATTATTGGTATTGTTCTTGATGTTGGTGACATTTGGCCCACAATTAGCATATTTGAAAGTCAAACTGGAATAGATATTCCACTACTCCTTTTACCTAATCCCTCAGTTAATTTAGAAATACATGCGCTCATTTTCAGCATAAAACAGCCTGGGTTACTAAAGTCACTCTTTAGTACTTCTCCTTAACAGGGCCTGTTTGACAGCTGTTAGGGCACTTTGCACTAGGCTGAAAAGCCGTAAAACAATTATCAGGTGTGAGAAAGAGATGCTCAGCTCATTATACTGTGCAATTGTGTGGACAGGATATTTCCATCAATCAGGAAAGAAGGAAAAAATTCTTGGTTTTTCAGGAGGATCAAATCTGACTTTTTCTGCCCCTCCAGAAGACATACAACTTCCTAAAGGCTGCTCTTCAAGTGAGGAAAGGTGAAACAGAGAGAAAGAAACTGAGGAAGGGTTCCTAAGACCGAGCCTCTCCATCATAGGAAGCAAGAGTGCGCTGTTTTCAATGTATCTGAAAGCTTGAGAGGTAGCCCTGCCCAGCCAGCCTTCCCTTCAGCCCCAAGAACAAGAGATTAGAACAGGAGAGGGTGGTGGTTGAGGAACAGGGCAAATGGGTCTTTCCCTGAACCAGGACCCCAATATTTGCCCTAGAAAAAGGAAGGACACTTGGAAGATGAGAGAGGTAGATGTCCAAGGAAGGACAGTTAGTGGGGAGTAGCAGAGCAGCCAGTCCAGGGAAGTGCACAATCCAAGTTCAGTGTCTTTTCAGAGCCCAAGGAGGAGGCTGCCCATCTCAGTAGAATTCCCCCACAAGCTAGCTTTGTTTTTCAGAAAATCATGAGGATTGGGACCATTACTGGGTCTATGTGACAAGAGAGAGCTTCAGTCTCCCTTCACGTATTCCCCATCAGTGCTACCCTGAGCCTTACCCAAAATACACAAATAAAAACAGTTTGTTTGCTGTGTAAACTCAGCTCCAACTCAGGTCTTCTACTTCCTCCCATCTACATTACACTCTACCCTAATTCTTCCTAAAGAGAAATTCTTGATCCTCTAATGGGTTATACCAGCAGTGGTAGACACAGACCAGGCCCCTACCCTGTATAGTTAGGAACTTTTGTGTGATCTATAAATTTATTGTTCTACCCTTCAGTGAAACGAGGGGGCTCAGAGCCAAATTTACAAAAATTGATGATGATGATGATGCAATGTGACATTTTTAATGAATTCCAATAAAAATTCATAGATGATACAATAATAATCAGTTTGAAAATTGTTTACACAACAAATATGTGTGGCTTTACTGTAGCCAATACATTTTTATTTCGCATAAACTGATGGTTTTAAAAAACTATCAAGATCCTACTTCAGGCTGGGTGTGGTGGCTCACACCTATAATCCCAGCACTCGGAAGGCTGAGGCAGGAGGATCGCTGTGAGTTGAGACCAGCCTGGGCTACACAGTGAGTTCCAGGTCAGCCTCAACTACATAGTGAGACCCTGTCTCAACAAAACAAAAATAAATCCTACTTCAGATGTCTAAGAAAAGTAGATTCTGGTATAGGGCTAGGAAGTCTTGAAAGGACAGCGGTGTAATGGTGTGGGTCAAACATGATGCAGGGGGAGAGGCATCAGAGGGAAATTCTATACCTGGAGAGCCTCACTGCTGTAACTCCAAAGGCCCTGTGTTTTGTTTCTAAAATAGAAACCACTGACTTGTACAATGATATTAGTATGCATTGACATTTTATATAGGTCAGATTAAGAAAAAACTCACAAAACTGCTAAGACAAAATGGCCTCTGCCTCAGAAATCACTAAAGCAAACATAGAAAACTAGAAACTTATGGGTTAACTCTGGCTCAAGACTTTTAATGTTCAGAAAGTATATATTTATAATTTTAGGTGGTGTTAAGTACAAATCGGTTCACAAATAAATCTTTGTCTTCCAGCTTTTCTTGAAAAATTAGATCTGGGCCCCTAGATATTCACCTGACAACAATCAGCTGGACCAAGAAAACCACCGAGTAAATACCCCCAGCTCACCATCGTCTCTAGTCTGTTTCATTCACTTGTGCGAGTGGTTCCCAAAGGTATCTAAATAGGTGACCTCAACATCAAAAATGTCAGGAATGGTCACATAACTAGGATTGAGGGATATACCAGCTTCTGAAGACCAGAGAAGGCCTTGATGTTTCCACATCCTCCAACTGACGGCCCTGCACACTATCCGTCAAAGATGGAGCAGACCTTGTGTCTGCTTAACGCCTTTTTTGTGTTTTGCCAGTGCTGACTATACAATTCTCAGTCAAATTTAAACAACATTTACCAGCCACTTGGTGTATGTAGGTATCAAAAGGAAATGTAAAGAGCTGATTCAGAACCTAACTCTTCTGATTATAATGGTTAGGCAGGTTGCTCTTAATTGATGGAGTTTCCGTTTCCTTATTCATAAAATGAATGGGTTCTACGAGGATGATCACTGAGATCACTCGTAACTGACCTCTTCCCAACACTGCCATTGCACTATCTAGAATCTATTGTACTTGGCCTCTGAGAGATGTTGGAGTTTCACCACCTGCACAATCCTTCTTCAGACTTCTTTCTCAAATTGTTGAATATATCACCAACACCATCCATCCAAATTAGCATTTACTAATATTCTGTCGTTTTGCTTTGAGTATCCTGGTTTATTTACCATATTCAAACAGAAAATTAGAGGCTATAAAGTTTGATTTTCAAATCCTCCACAGCCTGTTACACTTAGCTGGTATTCAATGATTAATTATTGAAAAACGAATAAAGGTACAGAAAATATGTATACAATAGTAACCTTCCCAAAGAACAGCTTTCATCAGCTCCCTCAAAACTAATTACCCTTATGAGCAACACAATTTGATAATCTGATTCAGGCAGGGATAATGCATACTATGCCAATGAGACAGCAATTAGGAGACACTACTAGATTCCCATATGACTTTGTACAAAATCATAGCTTCCTTCAACAGTAAAAAAGCTCAAAAGAGAAAAAAAGTGCAAGCAAATGCATGCTATTACTCACTGAAAGATTTGTCACCAACTAAAATAGGGCACACACACACAAAATTCCCTACCACAATTAAGAAAAATAATCAATTACTTGTAAGAGGACACAATTTATACACTTGAAAACTACAATGAAAATCACTTGCTCCTCCCCACCCTTTGGATGTCATAAAAGTTCTGAGTAAAAGGAGACCAAGTTAGGATGTCATGTGGAGTCCTGGGGGGGCGGGGAGGATTTACCTACTCCACCAGAAAACAGTGGGATACAGGTTTTACTTGTTCTGGTTACCACGCCTCCCCAGCAAGTAATTAAGGCTTTACATTTGTGGGTAACCTCCCCTATGGAGGTATTCAGTTAGATATAAACTACTACTTGGGTGAGATTTTTACTTTTTTTGAGACAGGGTCTCACTATGTAGTTCAGGCTGGCCTTAAATTCACTAACTAGCCCAGGCTGACCTCAAACTTCGCAATCCTCATGCCTCAACCTCCCATATGCTGGGATTATGGGTGTGGCCACCATGCCCAACTAAGATTTTTAGTTTTGGAACTAAGAAAACCCACAAAATAAAGCTTCACCATCTCTTGTAAAAGTTAAATTTTCAATCCAACTTTTTGTGATTGCCTTAATTTTCCTATTCAACATTTTAAGGTAGTTGATACCCTTTATTAACACTAATGTAAACTAACATTAACCAGCTTTAACAGCTAGCCATCTCTAGTGCTCTAGTGGACTGAAATTAAGTCCATTTACAAATTACTTCCCTGTGATGAAACAACACTTATGTTTCCACCTAACTCATGCAGTACAGAAAGAGAATTTGTTCTGAAATTCTGAATTTGCTCATACAATGCAAGGGGCTGAATCAAAAATGAGAGAGGGAAGGGATTTATTCAGGTGTGGATCACGGAAAAACATAGCACTAATTCTATATAAAAGGTTATATTTTAAAATTAATTAAATACAATTTTTGCATAATTTTCCTAGGGAATCCCCCCAAAAAGCAACAAGGTTTTACAATCTAAAGGTAACGATACATGTCTGTTTTTTAAAAAGGATTTTTATTTTTAAAAACTGCCTCCCAATGTTTTCCAACCGTTCAATTTTGTTGTTACTGTTGTTGTTTTTGTTTTTTGAGACAGGTTCTCACTAGGTGGCCCAGGCTGGCCTCGAACTCCAGGCTGTCCTCCCTAGTGCTGGGATTACAGGTGTGGCTCATTGTTTTTTTCTGGTGCTTCTGACCATTCAGGCAGGCAATGTATCCTCTAGGGAAGCCTGCCAGCCTACCTTCAAAGCCTGAAGACTGGATTAGGTTCCCTCCTTTAGCCACATCCACACACAGATCATAAGCATGACAAGCATGGCAGGTCCCCACCGTCTCCTTTTACCTAAACAGCCCATCTCCTGGCCTTAAACTCTGCTATTTCCTCCCAGTCCCAAGTAAATAAGACAGAACTGAGTTTCTTCTCATTTAGGACAAGGCCAGCTCTACTCTTCCAAGGTCCTTTGAAAGGAGACACGGTACCACCTGAGAAGGGCTGCTTTTCCATAACCCACAAAAAGGCATAATCCTGACCATAAGGTGGGTTTCAGAGGAGCATACTCCGATTTTACGGGTTCACAGCCAGGCGTGATCCCGTAAAACCCTGAAGTTGGAAAAGACCCCGAAGTTCATTCTCTGTTGTGCTGAGCCCACCACACAAAGCCCATTTAAGGCTTCGGTAGGGCTTTGTATTTAAGATGTTCCACACAAAAACACAGCGCCCGAAGCCTAGAGTCCATTTATTTCAAGTTCAGAGTCAAACGATGAAGGGTGTTCCTAATCCCATCCGCTCAACCCTAGCAATGAACTTCGGTTCGAAGAGAAGCTGTCCAGCGACTCCGCCCGCCGCGTCCTCCTCACTCATTTCGCTGACGTCGGGGGACGAGTCCTGACTCAGTCACCCATCATTCTCCGCTCCAAGGACCACGAATAGCAAGAGTCCCCCGCTCCTCTCCCGACTTTCCACTACTATCCTCCAAGGGGCGGAGCTCGACGCCAAATAACCACACGAGGACACCCAAGGAGCAGGGGATCCCCAAATCGGCCCGGCCAATCGAGGCAGGCGACCCCAGACAACCGCTGACGTCAGGTGTGATTAAATTTGTGCGTCACCCTGACGTCAGCCTCGCCTCTCTCGGACGTCCCGTCCCGGGAGCAAAACTCCGGCGACTTTGGAGAGGCCCCCGCCTCTCCCGACTTTCCACTACTATCCTCCAAGGGGCGGAGCTCGACGCCAAATAACCACACGAGGACACCCAAGGAGCAGGGGATCCCCAAATCGGCCCGGCCAATCGAGGCAGGCGACCCCAGACAACCCCTGTG